CTCGTCTGTGGAAGGAAGCATGAAGTGCTCCAAAATCTCTTGGTAGACGGCTGCGTTGACCCTGGACTTAATGAAGCATAGTGGACCAACACCAGCAGATGACATGGCTCCCCAAATCAACACAGACTGTGGAAACTTCACACTGGACTTCAAGCATCTTGCAGTGTGTGCCTCTCCATTCTTCCTCCATACTCTGGGTCCTTGGTTTCCAAATGAGATGCAAAAGTTACTCTCATCAGAAAAGAGGACTTTGGACCACTGAGTAACAGACCAGGCCTGTTTTTCTTTAGCCCAGGTAAGACGCTTCTGACGTTGTTTGTTGTTCAGGAGCGGCTTGACAAGAGATGTATGACATTTGAAGCCCATGTCCAGGATCCATCTGTGTGTGGTGGCTCTTGATGCACTGACTCCAGCCTCAGTCCACTCCTTGTGATAGTCCCCAACACTGTTGAATGGCCTTTTCCTGATAATCCTCTCCAGGATGCGGTCACCCCTGCTACTTGTGCACCTTTTTCTTCCACACTTTTCCCTTCCACACAACTTTCTATTAATGTGCTTTGATACAGCACTTTGGAAACATCCAACTTCTTTTGCAATTAACTTTTGAGGCTTTCCCTCCTTATGGAGGGTGTCAGTGATGGTTTTTTGCACAACTGTCAGGTCAGCAGTCTTTCCCATGATTGTGATTCCTACTAAACCAGACTGAGAGACCATTTAAAGGATCAGGAACACTTTGCAGGTGTTATGGCTTAATTAGCTGATTAGAGTGGGACACTTTGAGCCGAGAATATTGCACCTTTTCACAATATTCTAATTTTCTGAGATTGTGGATTTGGGGTTTTCATGAGCTGTAAGCCATATTCATCACAATTATGACAAATCACGGCTTGAACTATCTTGCTTTGCATGTAATGAGTCTATCTCATATATTAGTTTCACCTTTTAAGTTGCATTACTGAAATAAATGAACTTTTGCACGATATTCAAATTTTTCGAGTTTCCCCTGTATAATGTACAGCATACTGTATAGAGTGAAGAGGCCAGGACTATCTATGGTATAGAGTATAGCAGCCAGAACTATGTAATATACAACATAGCTTATAAGGTGAGTGATCAAGAGCCTAAAGAGTAGAGGGGTCAGGGCTTTATAATACGCAAAATATCATATAAAGTACAGGGATCGTGACTATTTAGCAAAAGTACAGTGATCAGGACTGTGTAATAGATAATATACAGTAACTTATTGAGTGCACACTTAGGACTATATAGAGAGAATACAGTGCAGCAGTCAGAATTATGTAATGTAAAACTTTGTGTATACTGTACAGTAATCTGAATGCAAAGTTCATGCCTATGTAATTCCAAGCACAGCTTGCACAATGGAATAGTCAGGAGTAAGTAGGCCTGTTGATGGTGGTCAACATGCACTTTTATACTGGTGGTCAGTGCTCAGTGCATCTTCTTATGTTTGTGATCATTGTTTAGTGTGCACGTTTACATTAATGGTCAGTGCTTGTCATGCACCCTTAAATTGGTGGGTAGTAGTTTTCATCGCACACACTTACATTGATGGGCAATGACCAGTGTACATTCTTGGTGGTAAGTGCTCCGTGTGCACCCTTACCTTGGAGCCCACTGCATAGTGAGTTCTCTTACATGATGATCAGTGCTAGATGTGTTTCTTATGAATTGGTGGTCAGAGCTCAGTGTGTCCCCTTAAACTGGTGGTCAGGGCTCAGTGTGCTTCCTTGGTGGTCAGTGTGCCTCATTACACTGGTGGGCAGTGCATAGGGTGCCCCCTCTTACATTCATTAGTGCTCAGTGTGCCCCTTTATGTTGGTGTTCAGTGCTTAGTGTGCCCCATAACGTTGGTGACCAGTGCTCAGGTTCTCAACTTGATTACCCTCTCACAAGCAATTGTTTGAAGTATCCTCATGTAGATGGTAGGGAGTAAAAAGACAGGCAGTCCAATGGTCATGGGCAGTAAGTCCTTTGCTCATATTTAGTAGCTTGAGGAGGTGTCCCTTTGCTGGGTGCCTATTTCTCTCAGTAACAAAGATATGGTTGTCTTGGGGTGGAATTGCAGGCTGCAAACATCAACTTTGGGGAACACGTCCTTGATGTTTGGTGCTAGCAATGCTGCTTGATTATAGTACCTTGGCCTGGTTATAATGAAAGGGGTCAACTACGTTTATGGACTCATTAAGTGACAATAGCATTGGAGTACAGGTGGCAAGAAAATGTTTGAGGACCTTGGAAGCCATCGGCAACTAGACCAACCTGACAGCAAGGGAGCAAACAGTTCCCCTAGAGCACTGGAGCTGAAATTCAGTGTACCTTGCTCTGTGGACAGTGTGGTCCTTTTTTGTTTTTATACACTTGTAGGTCAATCTTCTGTCTCTCGCTTACCATGCTTCACCTTCATGGCTCTTAAATCAGTTCCTTTCACTCTTATGTGTACTGTACAATGTGGTCTGAGCACTATAAGCAAAAAACAAATTCTTCCTACAAACAAATTTAGCACTATGGCTTTCACTCCACCTGTATACTGTTGACAGACCTAGCAAAGAAGAATCTGTTGCTTTATCATTGTGTTTGCCATCTTAGCTCACGAAAGAGTTTGGTAAAACTACACGAAAGATATATCTTTTTTTTTTTAACACTTGTCGTCATAACTTGTGGGTGATTTAAGTACCTATCATTCCTATCTGTATGTATTAAGCTTGCATTTAAAATGCTTGTTATTATATGTGTTTTGACACCTGCTTTAACTCTTTATTATGTAATTTTAGCATGTATTGTCACATATATTTATTTATAGTAATAATGACAGTCTTTAAAGTATTTTATATAACATTACTGTGCTCGGTGAAATAGTGGAGGATCCCTTAACTCATCAAATCATTAGCACACAACTAAGTTAAATAGTAGTAATCAGGACAGCTTGAGAAAAGCCAGAACAGAAGCAAAAAAAATTCCTAAACAAATTTTCAATTGGTAAAGAAGTTTTTTAAAAAGTGAAAATGCACTAAGGTTTATGTTGCACATTCTCTGACATACAACCAAAGGATGCTCAAGATAGTATAGTTTTACCAGCAGATCTCCAGTGCATTTAGGGGGATTATGCCCACCCCTGTAACACTAATTTACACAAAGAAACACTTAAGAAACATTTTACTCTTGGATAATCCTTCAAAGGATTTACACAAATACATACTAAGTATGTCCTGTAGAATTTAAGTAATAATAATAATTAAGTGTAATTACAGTACACCTTTGGTGAAATTGCACATATTTTGTAGTCATTTGTTCAAGATAACATTATTGAGAAGTGCATGGTAGCCAATCAGTTTGTAACTTCAGCTTGTTCAATTAAGCAATTAAGCTTTGACCAAAAAAACTGGAAGCTGATTGGTTTCTATGCAGAGCTGCATCAGATTTTGCACTCCCAAGTTTTAGCAAATCAAAAACAATGCAACAAAGAAAGCAAAGAAAATAAAGAAATCCATATACTGTATGTATTATCTGGGTTTAAACTGTGTTGACAAGGTTACTGCCAAAGAATAAGGCTCATAGCTAAAGTACCAAAATTGTTCTGGTCCAAAAGGGGCATACAGTTTTGAGAATTCCAAGGTCCAAGTGCTAAAAAGTTAGTTGATGCTAAAAATGTTGTAGAAGCCACATTTCTATCATGAATCCATCATCTTGAAATATTACTCATGTCTGCATTTTATAACACGTCTTCCTTTGTTTTATTGATGAGGCATTTACATTTTATTTAACCATAAAATATTAAGAAATCCATATTTTCCTGACAAATTTTTGTTTTTTACAGTTAGGTCCAAGAGTGCAGTGGTAATTGATGTGTATTGTATAAGTTCTTTTTATACTTCACTATGAAAGTATAAGTTTTCTGTATTGCTTAGGGGATATTTATTATTATTTGGAAGACTTTCTGAGTCATTCATTCACCTTTTCTGCTGGCTTTTAATTTTCAATTCCAATTAATAAAATTGACAGGTGTATTTTTAGGACAAAGCTTGGGCTAAGATGGAGATTGTAATGGCTTGTTAACAAGAGATTTAACGTCTTGATGACAACAGCCTTAAATTAAATCAGTTTATGGAAAAGATAAACATCACTAAAGCAGTAAACTATCCTATTAACACAAATCAAAGTACCGTATTTTTCACTCCATAAGATGCACCTGACCATAAGACGCGCCTAGGTTTTAGAAGAGAAAAACAAGAAAAGAAATATTCTGAACCAATGGACTGCGGGCATAGTACAGGAGATGACCAGAGTCTGCGGACACAGTACAGGAGATGACCAGACTGCGGACACAGTACAGGAGATGACCAGAGACTGCGGACACAGTACAGGAGATGACCAGACTGCGGACACAGTACAGGAGATGACCAGACTGCGGACACAGTACAGGAGATGACCAGAGACTGCGGACACAGTACAGGAGATGACCAGAGACTGCGGACACAGTACAGGAGATGACCAGAGACTGCGGACACAGTACAGGAGATGGCCAGAGACTGCGGACACAGTACAGGGGATGACCAGAGACTGCGGACAAAGTACAGGGGATGACCAGAGACTGCGGACACAGTACAGGAGATGGCCAGAGACTGCGGACACAGTACAGGGGATGACCAAAGACTGCGGACATACAGTAGTACAGGGAATGACCAGAGACTGCGGACATAGTACAGGAGATGACCAGAGACTGCGGCACAGTACAGGAGATGACCAGAGACTGCGGACACAGTACAGGGGACGACCAGAGACTGTGAACACAGTACAGGAGATGACCAGAGTCTGCGGACACAGTACAGGAGATGACCAGAGACTGCGGACACAGTACAGGAGATGACCAGAGACTGCGGACACCATACAGGAGACGACCAGAGACTGCGGACACCATACAGGAGATGACCAGAGACTGCAGACACAGTACAGGAGATGACCAGAGACTGCGGACACAGTACAGGAGATGACCAGAGACTGCGGACACAGTACAGGAGATGACCAGAGACTGCAGACACAGTACAGGGAATGACCAGAGACTGCAGAAACAGTATAGGAGATGTCCAGAGACTACAGACAGTACAGGGGATGACCAGAGACTGCGGACACAGTACAGGAGATGACCAGAGACTACAGACAGTACAGGGGATGACCAGAAACTGTGGACACAGTACAGGAGATGACCAGAGACTGTGGACACAGTACAGGAGATGACTAGACTGCGGACACAGTACAGGAGATGACCAGAGACTGTGGATCCAGTACAGGGGATGACCAGAGACTGTGGACACAGTACAGGGAATGACTAGAGACTGCAGACACAGTACAGGAGATTACCAGAGACTGCGGACACAGTACAGGAGATGACCAGAGACTGCAGACAGTACAGGGGATGACCAGAAACTGCAGACAGTACAGGAGATGACGAGAGACTGCAGACAGTACGGGGGATGACCAAGAGACTGCAGACAGTACAGGGGATGACCAAGAGATTGTAGAGAGTACAGGGGATGACCAAGAGACTGAGGAGCTTTGGGGAGGGAGGGGGGAGCGGGTACCTGAATTTGACAGGTACCTGCTCCCACTTCCACGGAGTTATCCTCCCTTTAGTGTGGGGACCTGGCTGTGACAGCCGGGTGCTCACTGCACATGCGCGAGAAGCGCTGCGCTTTGTGAATGGCCCAGCGTCTTCTGGGATCTGTCATGTGGTCCAGAAGACAGCGGACCATTCACAAAGCGCAGCGCTTGTCACATATGCGCAGTGGGCACCCTGCTATCACAGCCGGGTGCCCACACTAAAGAAGCCGGCGCGGGAAGAATGTACAGCGCTGGACCGAGGAACAGGTAAGGTCCTGCTGCAGAGAAGAGCCGAGCGGCCGGCCCGGTATTCTGACATGACGGCGGTGGGAATACTGGACCGGCCGCTCCATATTTGCTCCATAAGATGCACTGACATTGTCCCCACTTTTTTTGGGGGGAAAAAAAGTGCGTCTTATGGAGCAAAAAATACGGTATATGTAAACCCAACCACTAAAACTTCATGTAAGCTTTAACATGTTAATGCCATATTTTATATAATGACAATATATACTATAAAATAAAATCATTAAGCATAATGTATACATAGTCTGCCCTGTGAATTTTGTCTCAGATATTAAAAGTTTCAAAACTGGTAGTGTTTTGGCTTATGGAGGTAAATGAATCATATGCATATATGGCAATAAACAGAATTTCAAGGTAACATACATGTATTCACAAAAAACATAATTTTATTATACAGTATGTGTAAAAGAAGACACATAAAGCTTTCAATACAAATATATATATATATATATATATATATATATATATATATATATATATATATTTATATATGGTCCCCACATTATCCAACACCTACAAAGTATCTTAAAAGTGAGACGGTGATATATTTTAGAAGATAGGCAGGGGTTCTCAATGTGTTTCCCAGAGTAAATCTGCTTCTTTCACAAGCAAGAAGGGTGTAAACTATAATATAAAAAAAATGATTAAATATATAACATAGAATATTTCTTATCAACAAAAATGACAGAATACACAATATTTTTCAATATTTCTGTGACTATACAAGGGTGATGTTCCCCCATGAGAACAGCTGTCTGGGCCCCAAGGCCAAGAAATGTCAACAAGACTTAAAGCAGGTTTTACAGCCAGATAATAATAAACCTAGCATATCTTAATTGTTTACGGGGGTAAAAGGAACTGACAACAGCTATTGTTAATCCCATGAAGGCTCTCAAGTATAATTGTGTTGCAGAGAAAGGGAAGAGAGGACAGAAAAGAACAAACAGTAGGAAAAAAAAGAAAAAGAGGGAAGAATGGTGGGAGCAGAGGGAGTGGTCCAGGACTCATTGGATTGGTGAGGTTTATCCAGTGGAATATAAAGATCCTGCTCAAAAGCAGTGACTGTGTCTTCTCCTTCTCTTGTTTTCACCCATTACAGTGCTGTACTAGATTCACAGATATTGCAAATTGATGCTAACTAGGGATGGATGAAAATGGTGATTCCATAGTTCATTTTCAATATTGTAAAATCTGCAGCTTTTATTAATATAGTGCTACCCCGAAGGGGCCGCTTGAATATTTGGGTCCCCTGTTGCTTTGCCTCAACCCAAAGAACAACCTCTACCCCTCTGGTACACCAGGTTAGATTCAGTCCCTGCAAACAACAGTGCAAAGGACACGATGAACAGATTAAGATTGTCAAATAATGCTTTACTAGATAGTATTAGGTCAGCAGAGAAACAAATCATAAACTGTGAATATATCCCCACGATGCTAAACTTAGAATTAAACAAAATTATAACATTGTACAATGAGACAGCGGTACCAGTAAACCTTATTGTGAAACTGACAAACCTCCAGTAGGTCTATGATCTCAGGAACAAGAGGGGAAAGAGGAGACCCTTGGTCATTCAGCTCCCTCTAATCCCTGATACTGCAGGAAAAATAACAACACAATATACTAAATCTGGGCAGGAGTTCCCCTTTAAATGACTGAGCGGTAATTCCACATTACTAATACAGTCAGTGGCCTCTCTGTAGATGAAGTCCCTTTAAATAGGGGAGTCCTAGAGGTGAGTGTATTCCCTAATTCCAGGCTACTTATGATGAGGCACAGCTTTGTCACTATGCAATGGTAACAACTGGATGAAAGAAATAAGCAGATAGTACTCCTAAACAGCAACTTCAAGGGAGGATTGTTGGGCATTCACCCGCTCACCAAACCTCTGGAGAGTGGCACAACCGAATTCCGCTGCATGATATCTGGCTCTTGGCAGTACAGGATGCTGCTTGATGGCCCCTGGGCAACCTGTCAACCCACTGGTGAAGAGACCTGCACAATGCTTAGTGATTGCCCGGTCCAATTTTCAAATAATGCAGTGGTCCCTGGAATGCTGAGGGTTGCTCCACGCTGTGATGTGGTACAGAGCAAATGAGCAGGGTTCACTTGGTGCACTGCTGAACTGTGGTCTGGAACTCCTGGGAAGAAGTCACACTCCCGTCTTTCAGCCTCCAAGTCCCCGTCCCAAGAGAGCTAACATGGCTGCAGCAAGGAAATATATATTTCTGCCCAGAATTCCTTGGGGTTTCCTTACTCCTGGTAGTTGTAGTCCAGATAATGCTGAGAAGTACTATATAACTAGGCTGTAAGACTGAAATTCCCAAGATCCTCTGCTTTCAGACATACTTCCCACTCTGTCAGCAGGAAATGACAGGATTACTCTGTCTGTGCAGCAAATGTCTGCAGAATGACATAGCCTGACCCAGCTACATCAAATAAAACCTGGTGATCCTACCATAAGTTTCCTTTTTTTATCCACTACCTTTTATAGATTGCAATAATCTACCCCTGCCTCCCAATTCTGTTTCTGCTAGTCACCCTGTTGTCAGCATCAGAAAAAAACACCCTAAAAATACCATATAACTAAGTGTCATTTGGTTATAGTTTATCTTTACTTTAAGACAACAGAATTATTGGTTATTTTTCATCGAGGGCTTCTTGACTAAAATTGCATTCCACCAGTCACTTGTTTTTAAAGAATTTACTTTTAATTACTTAAGTTTGTTGACAATTTTTAGATGTGCAGACACATAAGAAATCACGAACAGTAGCACAATGCTTTAAATTAGCTACATTGCCGGTTGCAGAGATAAATGCATTCCTAGCTTGAAAATAGGAAACAGCAATTAGTTGAATGTAATTACTTCATTCCATGATCTTGTGGCATTTTTTATTAGAGAAACTCTTTTACTGATCACTAGGGATGAGCTCTTGGTTCAGTCCAAACACAGGTTTGGATCAAACTTGGCATGTTCGGGCGTATATCTGAAAACTAGACTTTTGGCTTTTTTTGTCATGAGCGGAATATCATATATAGTAGCAGTCCCCCCTACTAGGTACCACATATGCAAGGGTATGTGGCCTGGTATGGTTCAGGGGGGATAAACACTTGTCCCTTTCTTCCTTGGCCAGCCATGCTGCATGCTCAGATTAGGGTCTGGTATGGATTTTGGGGGGACCTCATCCTTTTTTTAGTTTTTTTTCGTGGGATCCCCCTTGATATCTATACCATCAAGGATAAGGGTCTGGTGGGAACTTTTGGAACCTCATACCATCTTTCTGGAGTCCCCCATTATCATCTATTTCAGACCTTCATCCAGCAGAAGGGTCTGGTATTGGTGAAGGGAATTTCCACTTTATAAACAAAAGTAAGTGGCCAATAGCTGTCATTTACCAGCAGTTTCATTTTAATCTTTGTAAATGACTTGTTTTGCTGTAGCAGGTTGTTTATATCACACAGATACAACATTTTTGGGGCATTTTAAGGTCATCCCCCAGGCATGCATATAGGAATTTTTCTTTTTTAATGTTGCCCTTTAAGTATTATTAAAATCACTGCTCCCCACCAAACAAAAATCAAGGTCAGGTGCAATGCTCATGATGATGTCATAAGGGGGCAGTTAAGTGACTTCATCACAGTATTTAAGAACTGTCAACCTGGTGCAGCTGTCAGACGGCAGGAGCCAGCATCGAGAGCAGAGAGTTTTTGTTTTTTTTTTGGCGGCGGGCATCGTGACATTGGATCTACTTTGGGGGACTTTTTTAATTTGTTTTTAATAAAGGACTTGTCAAAGACTGTCTCCTGTCATTTTTCTACTGCACTTTTTTTTTTGTGAATGCTTAGCATTAATCTACTCCATACTTATTCACATGGCGGGGTGGGATCTGGGGGCCCCCTTGTAAAATGGGGCTTCCAGTTTTTGATAAGCCCCCTGCCTGCAGGCCCTCACAACCACCAGTCATGGAGACAAGGTGCTTTGGAGGGAGCACCCCCCATATTGAGGGCATGTGGCCGGGTTTGGTTCAGGAGTGGGGGTGCTCGCTTGTCCCCTCCCTTTCCTTACCTGCTGGGTTGCATGCTCGGATAAGGGTGTGTAGTATTGATTTTGGGGATCCCCTACGCAATTTAAAAAAAAATTGGTGCCAAACCAATTCACCAACTAAAATACCGCATGACTTAATATTATAACTTATGCAGTATTTTAGTAGCTCTACAGTATCTTACTGCATACTCAGATATGGTAAGATATCGCTTAGTGAATTGTCCCTGTTCGAAGTTCGCAGTCGAACTTTCAGTGGGTTTTAATGTTCAACCATGAACCGAACAGGGGGGTGTTCAGCCCATCACTATTTTCTAATGGGTGTAAGCACCTAGGCAAGGGTGACCAGGGTAATAAATGCAATTCTACAGTAAACATGGACTTATCAACAAACAAAACATATTCAATTACTGACTTGAGCCATGCCCATTGAATAGTTAAATGTACATTTAGAGTCTCTACTGCAAAGTTGCCTATATTCCTTTCTGCCATACAAGTAGATGTAGAAAACCCTATAAAGTATCAGATTGACAGGGAGAGAACCTTGATCCATT